TGCGTCATCACATCTCTTCTCGCTACAGCTGTCACAGCACATCGGTCCTTTTGYGCTCTGAAAAAGAGTCCACCTAGGGCAACGAAACGCCTGCCCTACTTGATCGTGGGCAAGGAAATCACTTTTGGACAGCTTTTCACACAAGAGTGTATTGAGAACCAAGGGGATTACAAGTGAACCAAGCTCAGCATTTGACCCCTGAAGAGAATCCATGAAGAGAATCCTCTGAAGCTTCCAAATGTCCCAAGACAMACAGTAATACAGGGAAAGATGATGTCCCGGGGTATCAAACACAGGAAAAGATGATGATCCTAGGTTTCGTGCTACTTTTCCTGATTTTCTAAACTTCACTCTAACTATACAGTCAGGTTGCAAGGGAGCCAAAGGCAGAAAGTCAAGGGGAGAAGGCATGTGAWGGCAAACAAAGGAATTCTTGGAAATTCATCATTAAAAAATCCCTAGTGTATGAGAAGCAATTCTGTAATTCATGTAAAAAGAATTTTTAACTTCTATAGGCAGGGAAAATGATGTAATACAAACCAAATCATAACAAAGAATTATCTTAATTAAACCTGTGAAGGTGAGGAGATCACAATAAAGGTGTAATGCTTTTTTTTTTGTTGTTTTTTGTAAACTTATTAATGACATTCAAGTTGTCATAGACAGAAAATAAAAGTTTTGAGGAACTAGAGAAACTTGTGGTTTTTAAAAAATGCAAAATACCTCAGTGGATGTTCTGCCCTAAATGTGGAAGAACTGACTTGAAAATAAAAAATGGATGAGTTGAAAAACTGGCTGATGTCAATACAAAAAATCCACTGGGGCACTCGTATCCAAATATACTGAATCATAAAATCAGAGAATCCATAAGGGACCTTTGGAGATCATCTAGTCCAACCCCCCTGCACTCAGGGCACTGAATGTAACAGCAAGTCCCTGACATATTTCCCTGAATATCCTTAAATAGCAACATAATCCTGGGCCTTCTCCGCCTCAAGTTCTCTATTTTTTTTTCTCAAATATCCTTGTATTAGAACAGCTGATACTTCCTTTCCTTGCAAAGGAGTATTAAAGCTTACAGCAGTGATTTCAGCCAAATAGTAGCTCTCTTTTTATAATACTGAAGGAAGAGGTATCGATGAGGGTGCAAGTGCTATGGCCCAGTGCAGCAGCCTGATGCTCCCTCGTCACCGCAYGCTGGCTCTGAGCATCAGCAGCACTGGGGACAGATCCATGCAGGTCACTCATGAGGTGTCTGCTTCTCATCTTCAGCTGCACTTAACCTTATGGCAATGGCCAACGCAGAATTGGGAGCGCTTGAGCCCTCCTAAGCTTTCACCTTTCCAGAGCACATGTAAAATTAGCAAACATCGGTGCTAATATTCAGCAAACATCAGTGAATGGCCAGTGTTGTTCAGCAATGTTATTCAGGAATAAGCTTTATCAGCTGACCTGAAAAAATGAGTATGAAGCCTAGGATGGCCTTTTTATTATGACACCAGTTCTCCACGTTTTTGCTATTTTTTTAATGATAGGTAGTTGTTTTTATGTAGGATAAAAGAGTATATCAAGTCCTAACTTGTCCTCCCTGAGGTATGACCAAAGCCTGCAGAGTAGTGCTGGGTCAGACAGAAATCGGCCAGAGTGCGTCTAACAACTGAATTTAATTTGTATAAACAAACAAGCTTTATTTACAGTATTCCTTCAGAAAATCCCAGGCTTAAGAGTCTGCCTGTTCTTTACAGGCTCCATTTATGTACTCTTGAATGCCTATTTAAGCAAAAAACAGAGCTTTCCCATGGAAACCACACAGAGATGTTTTACTTCACACGTACACCACAAACAAGGCTGCTAACTTTCCAGAATTTACTGTATTTTCTCAGGTTTGCTATTGTATTTTAAGACAAAATCTTTCGGAGAAGCTGCTTACATGCAGCCACAGGCACATAAATAAATGACCTCTGAGAGGTATAACCTGAGATGTGAACTGAGAAGAAACAGCATGTTGGCAGCTTGGAAGACAGAACGTTATTATTATTTGTTTTTGCTGTTTCTAGACAGAGAAACAGGTTAAAAATCTGTGTTTAACAGAGAAACAAGAAAACTGGGGCATTTGGACTACGTTGTTTAATCTGGACTCAATTTTCTTAGAATTAAATCAAGCCTGAAGACAATCCTGTGGCTAAGCAAGCTTCAATTACCAGGCGCTGACTTTAAAGGACCAATTTACTCTGGTGGGCTTCAGAGAAACTTGGTGATTTTAAAAAACCTGCTAACAAGGACACCAAGAACATGAAGAGAAACTGAATTACACAGAATTTATTAGGCAGGCATGGGCTGCTCCAATGATTTCAGAAAAAGCAGACGCACTTTTACGCACTCTTTTTCTCTGTTACTGAAGCAGATACTGCTAAAATGATATTCTGATTAGAGAATTTGCCTTTTAGATTTAGGTGATGCGTGTGTAAGTACAATTGCATATAATCTACATCTATATGTATGTATTTTAGGGGAGTAATTTTGCTCCTACTTATAATTACCCCTGATTGTAGCAGTGATTGCAGGCTACCACAAAAGGTTAAATCCTCACTTCAAAAGAGATGCCTAACTTTGCTCTGAGGGCACGGGCTGCAAATACAGGCCGGGCTCGCTAAAACTGAGGATGAGAAAATCCCAAAGGGACCATATTCTGAAATTCATGGTGGTTCCACATCCTATGAGCTGTTCCCACACATGCCTTGGTGTCTGGCTGAACAGCCAATGGGCCCATCCAGCTCAGAAGAGCAAACGAGCCAACCTTGATGATCTCTTGAACTACAGAGAGGAAACTGGTGTAAATTCAGTGTGTCTGAAAATACRGGAGCAGAATTTGGTCAGATCCCAGAATTTCAAGTGGGAGATCCTGTGACCTTAGAATAGGAAGAGCAGAAAGATAAAGAGACTTTTTTTTCCCCCCTCCAAAGAATGCGAAGCTGCTGGGAAACTGTTTGGCCTAAAGGGRAAGACTCTATATAAGCACAAGCTAACAGATTTAAAACACATTGAAAACAAGTTSTTGTTGCTTATTCAGGAATATATTTACTTCAACTGACCAGAAATACTCTGCTTCCAGAGGCTGCATCATATGAGTATGTCTGTGTGTGTATTTTTYAATTGGGATGATTTCACTTGGTTCCTTAGATAATGCATTCAGTGAGAACACTTTCCCATATACCTACATATATTCCCAGATACTTTGCTGATAACGTGRAAACAGCAAAAATAAAATAGAATGAAACAAAACCGAGTTGCTTGAGTTAAAACACACTGTCTTCTAAGAAATGTCTGCAAACATATCCTAAACACTGGTATTTACACAAGATAATAAGATACTGCAACACACRCTGTTCCTCACTTTTGTATCCAATCTAAAACTAAAATGCAAAAGCTAAAATGCAAAAGTGTATTTTTAGAAAATGAAAAAACTTGCATGTGATAGTAAGTGAACCCATTTAGTGCCTTTTACMAGAACTGTTACAATACTTCTAAATTTCAAGTGCAGGACAGAGAAGTCCATTTGTATACGCCTACTCACAAATGAATGCACTTAGCAGACAGAACATAGGTACTTGTACGTTTTCAGCTGCAAAATAAGTGCATTTTACAGTACAGTCCTAAAACAAGGTACAGTGATGCTTGCAGTTATTTATTTTTTTAAACAACGGACATATAACATCATGTTAGAAAGAAGAAACAAGTTCACTACAACGAATTATATCTGATCAAGAAATGAACCCTCTAGATGGTGTACTTCTAAAACCAAATAGTACCAAAACAATTTTATTACAATAGATCAAAATCGATTACTTCATACATCAATACTTACAATACTTACTACATAGATCAAACTTACAATAGACCAAAATATYACTTCATGTTCTCCATAAAATTTAAAGCATTAAAGAATCTGCAAATCCTTCAGTCATTTATTGTTTGCTTCCATCACTTCCAAATTACAATCAGTGTATGACCATGCCATTCATTTGATTTTCTCAGCTTGAACTATTTCCATTTGTCTCCCTTATTTACGCATCTCTGCTAATCTGATTTAATCTGCCGACTGTCATTCAAAACGTTCATTCCAATATACCATGTTATTTATGCAATTTGATGCCTTTATGTGCTGAACAACTGAAAATCAATCTGCTTAAATTTTGTTGCTGTTCTARCATTTGGGGTTTGCAAAATCTACACACAGCAGCAAGGCCTTTGCCAACATTGCTCCATTCAGGTGAAATCAGTTTTGCTTCACTAGAAGACAGAGTAACAGAGATGTATGAAAGAAGCACTGCTGCCCACATCAGCCTGCCACTGCAGCAGAGATTGCCCTGGCATTTTTAGCTAATGGGGATAAGTGGATTAAAGTACTATCTTCCCATCTTGAAATGAGGGCACATAGAAAAGCAGGAGAGGAAGCAGCCAGAAACCAACAGAAAAAAAGCAGTAAAAAGAAGCAAGAGTTAAATTTTTTCAGACTCTGATAGGGTTGCCTCCATGCTGTGTTGACTGGCCACTGCTCTAGCTCCTCCTGTTCTGCTCTGCCTTATTCCATACATTTCAGGTTTGTCTTCCTTGCTCTCTGCATCTCACATGCTTTCCTTCAAGGTCTCCTCTCCACCCACACAAGCCAGGCAATTACCATGACTGGCTGCTATCATGCAGATTAGCCCTGCTGTGGGCTATCTTGTCTATTGAGATTGGAAACACTTTGGAGCAGGGATTGCCACTACCCTGTGGCCTGCACAGTGCCTAGCAAAGCCTGGTTCTGGTCAGTGCTTTGGCAYCACTGCAAGGGAGCACGAGTAACAGAGTGTCTGTCTCATGCATGGGGATCCTAGGACTGTATTAGAACAAAACAGCTTCAGGTTTCATACTGTTGCAAATGCACAGATAAACCCATCAAATCTTTACTAATCATATAACAAATGGACTATTAAAGATGAAATAGTAGTCAGACTTACTTTGCTCTCTTGGCCATTTCATTGCCATCCCAGCGTGGGCTGTAAGGGTAGTTCTTCTGCGCTTGGGAGTACAGCTGTCCACTGTTGGTGAAGTGGTAGACTGACTGAAATGTTAGGGTTGGTTGGTCTCGAGGAAAGTACAGCGGCAGGTCAACTGCAAGAAAAGAAAAGGGTGTCACAAAAACCAGACTATTCCGTTTTTAATTTCTGTTTTTTTGCTCGGGACATATTGTTCCTTCTGCTCGATTTAAAGATGTAGGAGAAAATTATGATTAATCCCAACATATCTTTGTGATTTAATTATATTGCTGTATGAGCTGTTCTGCTTTATCAATTTCTTTTTGTAAAATACATATAAAAATGTTTAGATAGTGTATTATAATCATATAATCATAATGCTTATATCGTGACTATTTTGCTACCAAAAAAAAAAAAAAAAAAACCCCAACTTCTTTTGTAGTGAAAATTTCCAGTTCAAAAGAAATCGAAATACATTCTGTTTATGCTTTCCATCAAGAAATAAATTCCTCTTTATCAGCTTAGGCAATTCTTCTTATTGTCCCCACGGACATCAAAAGCATTATCATTCTCATTTTACAGCTAGGTAAACTGAGATTTAAAGAGATTAAATGATCTGATAAAGGATGCACAAAGATTCAATCACATGAGTTAGAATAGATCTCAACTTGCAGTTGAGACTGCAAGTCAAGTGGATGGACAACAAAAAGCCATAAACCCCAAAACACACTACAGTCATTAACACCAGAAATATCTCACTAAAAACAAAAATCGGAAGTTCTGTCTTAGTTGCTTTTGCTTATTACAGTGACATGATCAGCTAGGTCTGCCAAAATAATAACATAGTCTAAAAACGTTAACTTTGCCAGAAACTATTTTTTAACTTAAGTATAAATCTATCAGCGAAAAAGTTAAGATTTTATTGGCCCATTTTTCATTTCAGGAAACTTAAGAAATCTGTAGTTACACTGAGTTCTGACAGTAGACTGTTGAATTATTTACTTTAAAGGTCTAAACCAGCATCAAGATTAACAGAAAAAAATGCTTTTTCTCAAAGATGTAGATTTAATGTATAAAGCACCTACAATCAAATTGTTTGCYATTCCCCAAGCTGTAATTCTTTAACCCTACAAGATGAAAGAAACAGTATTTCCTTGTAAATCTTAGGGCATTTTTCCCAATTGGTGTAGTAACRATTGAAATAAACTGGTAAGATTATAATTCATCATGCAAGCCTGGGATCTGACTAGTCTCTCTCTGTCACTTCACAGTCCTCTTTAAAGASAAGAACCCTCAGTTAATGAATAGGCTGTAACAGCCAAAGGAAGAATCAAAGCAGATTGCAAAATTGCTACAAACAACAGAGCTTCAAGGGAAAGGAACAGGACATCATCAAACCTGTCCTCATGTGGAAAGAGTCTCCTGTCTCATGCATTTGGTGATGTATTGTATTTTCTTCTTTTTAATGCTTTGTGGAACAGCAATTCCAGCACTTCCTTTGAGATCTCTGTCCACAGATTGAGGTATGAGAACCAAAAAGATTTTCTTTATTCAAATTCCTGCACTTTCTTTCATTTTTCATTTTTTTTTCTAACCAGGTCTGAATATTTAGATAGGCTTTTAGCCAAATGATAGCTCCTTTTCCCCAAAATTACTCTGCAAAGTCTACAATTAAAGATGTTTGTAGTAACGAAGCATACCAAAATTAACTGCAATATCCCAGTGTAGTCTCAAAATAAAGCAAATGACTGAAGATTGCAGCATTCATCCCCTTCTGCGATCCAGTTGGGATAACTCTGAAGGTTCTGGTGACTCCATTTACACAGCAGCTTCCAGCAGATATGTAAGCAGTAATGACACAGGCAAAATTCTGCCCGTTCAAGGGTAAATCATTGCTGTAATAAATGTTAAACACTAAGGTAGCTCTGTCAAATTTCTCTTTATAATTTAATTATTGAAGAATAACATTGGAAAATACTGCCAGATAGAATCCATCTCTCAGAGAGCAAGCTGTCCCCTTCTCACAGATACTACTTGTGTATCATGGACTCTACAAGACTTCACTGTAAAAAGAAACATAAACTAAGGAGACAGGCTCTCTATTTCAGAGATTTCAATGCATATTTGCTCCAGCACAGACTATTTAAACTCTATCGCTTCAGCACATAATTTATCTTCCTTCTAAAGCTATCAATTCCTTGAAGGAAAACTAGTCTGTATACTTTATATTTTAATCACCATGTGAAAAGAATAAAAAAATTTCAAAGAAAAAACGAGTAATAGTCTAGTCTGCATATTTAACTTCTTTTTCAGAATTTCTGACTTTCATTAACTTTGCTTTGAAAATCTGTCTACATAAATAGAGCAAGCAGCATCATTTTTCTTTCCACATCTGGCCACCAGCARTATTATCCTGAACTTGAAGTTGAATTTTGAAAAATTTGACCTGCCTTTGACTTTTAAAACTATAATTCACCTAAAACCACCAAACTCCCAGTTTTCTAAATGAGGCATTCCTTTAATGCAAGGTGTGAGATGGGTACATACCAAGTAAAAAAACCTGTCCCTAATTTTGGAACATAACCACACCTAAGAGACAAGTAAACAGGAAATAGCCTTGACTTGTAAAATGTTATACATATCTCAAGGTAGCCAGCTATTATTTCAGAAGGAGGAAATAAAGGCAGGAATTTACTTCCGGCACAGTGGATACAAATCCACTGACAGCGTTAGGAGTGCTTGGAAAAATAATAATAATAATAATAAAAAAATGCAAACATCATAAATAATCAATGCTAGCAAGGTGCTTTGAAAATGAAAGGTCAAATTCTACCCCTAGCCAGAATCACGTGGGGTGACAAAGGTTTGATARTAAGAGCTTTTATTTTTACCTGCTTATATATGAAAAGTGACTTTGAAKCTTCGTGCATTAATACCAAATAAGAGCTACCTTAATGTGATATATGAAGTGTAAAAGGCAGGCATTATCCCAATTACATCCCAGACAACATCTACATTTTATCATGAAAAACACCACAGCTAAAAACAAYTCAGTCCTTTTGCAAATCAATACCTGAACCATAAGAATTGCAAAAGCACGCTTTGGTTTGGCGTGTTAGTTGCCAAATACTTAAGAACTACAAAAAACGTATTCATGTTGCATCCAAGTGCTATTTCCAAATAACAGCTGACTCACAAAGTACCCTGGTGATATGTCTGCAGAAAATAAGCAGATGACTCATGTCTGTAAATTCCTGAAAGTACCAATAGACCCCTTGCTTAGTCATCTTTTGCTTGGATGCTGGGTTCATGAGCTCCGTAAACTGTAATAAGGGATCTAGCTCTTACTAGGTCTCTTTTTCTCTCTCTCTCCTCTCTTCTAAACAGTGCAAATTATCTCTATAAAAATAACTTCATCTACGCAAGTGAGTCACTTCAGCTAGCAAGCTTACACAAGTCATGCAGTTAAACAGTAATATTTGGTTATGAAGGTAAAAAGCTTGCTGTCAAACCTGGTTTTAAAGTTAAAATTATGTCAGAGGAAGTTCCATTTACCTCTTCTCTCACAGAAATAGAAACATTTCCTTTGGAAAATTTAAACAATTAGCTCATTCAGGAAAGTAAAGCTTTCTAATTCAGTTCCAGCTCAAGTAATGTAATCGTTATGATTTCTTACTTTGGCTTTTCTGAGCATCACATTATTAACATAAGAGCAATTCAAAGAAATAGACTGCAGAAAGAAGCTAATATCATACTAAAACACTACCTTCCCCAATACTACAATTTGCAGACTTTTTTTTAAAGGCACATTTTAGAAATTTATAGGGGAGAGAAAAATTACACTTTTATGAAAGCCCTACATGAGCAAAACTTGGATAGATGTTTGGGGTAATTAAGTATTGAGCAAATTCTTCAGTGATTGAACCCTAATTTTCCCACACAGTTCATAAGAAAGCGAAAGAAAAGGGATTTGCTTATTGAGAATGAGTCACATTTTAAAGAACTTAATTACGGTTCATAAACAGTTGAAATTGCTCTCTTTTTGAGATGCAAGAAGCTATCAGGAACTAACATATAAATTTGTTTCTCTTGATTTASAATTTAACGCATACATACACTGAAAATTTAGTTTTCTAAAAGCCAAAATCCTACCTCATTATTGAGAAAATTGTACAATGAATCAGTAAAATTTACTTGCTCATTTTCTTAAAGAATAGAAATATCAAGATCTTGAACAGGTTACTTAGATGGTAAAACTTAKGTCAACAACTGCAGGATTATTTAGACAGACCTATTAACTCCAAAATAATGTTTTTAGCATCTCAATTTATAATTTTTTAAATAGTATATGAAATGAGAAAGGGATGTCTTGGCAAAAGCCCATGCAAGGGCTGCTGTTGCACTTCTGAAGATTAAATGATGAGGAAGTAAGGCAGGTTTATCACAGTGCGCTGCTCCTTCCTCCTTTACGCACTGGASAGGAGAGAAAGTAAAACAAACTATGCTTAAAGTACATATGGATCATAAATATTTCAAGGGATTTAGATGGCAGTATTTAGAAAATTTTCCATATCCTACTCSCCTCTTCTAGAGAAAAGGAAGGTTTAGTTACCCTTTGTAAAACTTGGATAAATCTAGGCATTTATTTCTATACAAGTCAGCAATCACTCTCTGCTGCTTTGGACTATTTCAAAGTTTGGAAAATATTATACTGGCCATTTTATGCATCTTCTGAATGCTCAAATCTGCTGCAGCTTACTGCACCTGCAACTTGCTTTTACACTTCCATAGCTGACTGGTTTGGATATTTCATTGCCAAGATTTCTATGACAGTGCCTGTACAACCTTAATTCATTCTACACTTGTTTTATGAAGCAATCTTCAAATACAAGATAACAAAGCATTCTTCACAGTTCAGTTCCTAAGCTGGGCAGAACTCATCAAATGAGAACCTATCCTCTCTCTATCTTCTCTGACAGATTTTACCTGTGTGTGTTTATTTACTACCTAATATTCATGGCTCGCTCTGATTAAATACTGACTCATTTCTTCCTGGACTTTTCAGTGTGATGATTTCAATCACCATAAGGTTTGGTATGGTACCTACATAAAGTATTATCAAACTTGCTTCACACC